CAATGTAAAAATAAAAGATAGCAATAAAAATTATTTAAGAACAACAACATAAAAATTATGTGGCACAGTGGATGGAGCACCACCTCTGGAGTCAGGAAAACCTGAGTTCAAATGTGACCTTAGACACATAACACTTACTAGCTGTGTGACTCTGGGCAAGTCATTTAACTCCAATTGTCTCAAAAAAAGAACCAAAACAACCAAACTATGTTGATATATGAAGATACAAATAAAATTACGTTAATTTTTTTTAAAAAGCAGAACACAAGTATATAAAAACAGTTCTGTGATGAGGAATGGAAATACTAATACCCCATGAATCCAGATATATTTCAGAAAAAAAGAAGAAATCTTGCCTAAAGTCCAAGAGCCACATTTCCTTCTTTTCCAAGCTTCCCTTCAGAGGAACTAAAGAATATGAGAAGGAAGAAACTGTAGAGGAGAAAAGTAAAGAGAAATAAATCTGGTTTTGCAAATTCCAGACTCCTTAGAATAGACATATCCCTAAGAAACTGAGAGTCTCACCCAAATTGCTTGAAACCTATTCAATATGTCTCAGGAAACCTAGGAAAAGTCTTACCCTCCCCTCCCACAATCAGAAAGAGGAACAATGGGAATTTTGCATGGGACTGTCTGGGTCCAGTAGTGATAAAAAAAAAAACAGCATCTGAGTTGGGAGTTAGGATGTACAGAGGGCACGAATTCACAGCTCTGACTGAACCCAACATACCATATGAATAGGAACATGCAACTCAACCTTTATGGGGTAACACCTCATTTGCTGAGGAAATAACACCTTTTACTGCCTGCAAGAAAGAACAAATTAATTTCTTGTTCCTCTGAGAATATGGCTTCATATTCATCCTTAAGCCCAGTCCAAGTTCCATCTTCTCCAAGAAACTTTCCTTGGGAACAGTCCACCACTATCTCTCTTTTATGTGGCACTTATCAACTGAACCACAGATTTCAGAAATGTGTAAATATTCGAAAACATCCAAATCCATGAGCATTGTTCCTTTCAAAGAAATTACATGCGAGGGAGATACTCCAAGTAGCATTTATGACCAATGAATTTAGATCTTAAGCCACAGACTTCAGGTGTAATTTTTCTGATTTCTAAATAGAGGTCTGATACATCGCCTAATGGAGGGGACAGTACTGAACAAAGCTCCCAGACTTTGAGTCTGATCCCTATCAATGTGACAGGGCCTTTGTTTTTCTCTCCCAGATCCTGTGTAGTGATTAGGAAGCTGTGGCAATAGCACTATTTCTTCACTTCAATAGCTAATATATTAGGCCTTGAAAATATTTCAGGAGGTGTTGGGTGGATGGTAATGCTGGTGGGTGGTCCTTGGTTCCTATGTTCATCTACCCTTTTCTATCAGACCAGAGACAAATTTGTACCCTTTTCTTCACCACATCACTTGCTGTGCTTTTTAACCCAATTTTTTCCTCTCCCCTTGTGATCTGATTTTTAAAATTTCCCCTTCATGGAAGCATTCTTGTCATTTCCACATCTTGTCACATCTCCCCAAGTTGACCTCCATTTCCCTTCCCTCGATTTTATTTCCCCACTTCCACACCAGAACTTAGGTTGTGGATGTAGGGGTGGATAATCCATAGATCCTGTGAACATTTTTCTTTTTTTCTTTTTGTGGTTAAAAAGCCTCCCTGTTGTGGCAGATGAAAGATGAAATAACTGAAGAAACAAAAGTTCAATCTCCCAAGCACATCAATTTATTAAGCAATGCAGGCTAATTACCTAACAAATTGGGACCAAGTCCCTTCCTCAGCTTAGGGCTAGACCCCAAATACAAGGAGGACACAGTTTTTTTACACATTAAAAATAATTAATCAAATGAGACTAATTAATTAAAAGAAAAATTACACCTAAATTAAAAAGAATGCATTACAACATCTGATTTCTAACTCGATTAAAGATTATGGACTTTCCAAGTTGGGAGGGGCAGACAGAACAGGTGAAATTTCCTGAAATCAGAAAAGGAGGTATTTCCAGCCCCCCACCCCCATATCTGTGAACAATCAAAGGAACATGGAAACAATAACTGAGTGATCAGGACCAATTTTTGGATAAGACATGGGTTGAGTGTACAATTCTGAGAAAACTCCTCACATCCATCTTTGGATCTGACTGAGTTTCTGGTCAGCATAACCACGGTCCTTAGTTAAGGGTCTCTAAGCAGCAGGTAGGGGTCCTACCGGGCTAGGTTCAAACAATGCAGTAAGGCTCTGTCTCAATTCCCACAATTGAATAGTTTTCTGCAGACAGAAATTGCACTAGACTCGTAACTGAACAGAAAGGGAACTGAGCTAGAACCAGATCTGAGTTACAAAATGGAGTCAGTGAAGTTCACTCAATTCCCACAATTAACCACTAGCTGTCCTAATCCTCTCAATTTCCTCACTGGTGCTAGAACAATTATCTGTGCTCCTCACTGGTCTTTCCTCCTTTGTGGAGGGCACTCCCTCTTGCCCCATCTATGGATGCTCTACTACTTACTAGCCAAGAGACCTTAAAGATCATAGGAATTAGGGCTGGAGGGGACCTTCCAGGTCATCAAGTCTAGCCCCCTCACTGAGGGAACTAAGGCATTAAGTAACTTGATAGATTCTGAACCCAGATCTTCCTGATACAGCACTCTATTCATAACACCAAATGACTTAAACTTTCTGTTTCTCCATTTGAAAACTAAGAATAAAAATATCTGCTTTACTTACCTCATAGGGTTATTATGAGGATTAAATGAAATAACATGTGAAAGCACTAAACAAATATAAACACACAACATAAGGTATTATGTTCACCTATGTCCTTCCAGATTCTAGATAAAACTGGGTAGAAAAAGAAAACTAATTGCCTCAGTAAGTTACAAGGATTCTTAACCTTCTTTGTGTAACAAACGATTTAGCAGTCAGGGAAAGCCTATGGAACGAACCCACTGTAGGATGTTTTTAAAAGCACAAAATACAAAGAATTACAAAATAAACAAATTATATTGAAATTGCTTAAATTTTTTTAATTAAAGTTCACAAACCCAATGTTAAGAACTACTGCATGAGCGGGCAGCTAGGTGTCGAAGTGGAGAGAGCACAGACCCTACAGTCAGGAGGACCCGAGTTCAAATTCGGTCTCAGAAACTTAACACTAGCTGTGTGACCTTGGGCAAGTCACTTAACCCCATTGCTTAGCCAAAAAAAAACAACCCTACTGCATGGGTATGAATCTTATGGTTGATTATTTCACTGATCAAATTTGTTTTTCAAAGTTGCTTTTGTTTACAATGTATTCCGGTTCTACTCCCTTCACTCTGCATCAGTATACATAAATCTTCCCATATTTTAGGGGTACACTTAGCAAACAAGTTTGAGATAGTGAGGTGGGCTTGCAGTTCAATGACAGAATAAGTTCACAGACTCATAAATTTAGTATTTAAAAAGGATCTCAGAGGTTATCTAATCCAACCCTTTATTTTTACAGATAAGAAACTAAGGCCCAGAGAGGAAAATAGTACGATGTCATTGAGGTTATAGATAGTAGCTGGCATAAGCAAGATTTGAATTTAGTTCCAGGGCTGTAGATCCAGAGCTCTTTCCAAGCTGTGTCACTACTGGGTTGTGCATTGGATAAGAGGGCAGGGGTTGGACGCAGGAAGACCCGATTTCAAATCTGACTTACATATACTGGTAGCTGTGTGACAAGTTATTTAACCTCCATCTGCCAGTTTCGTCATAGCTAAAATTAAGATAATAGCTCTTACCTCCCAGGGTGGCTGGGAGGATAAAATGAAAGAATATATGTGCAAAGTGCTTTGCAAACTTTAAAGAACTATGTAAGTGCTAGCTAGCTAGATATGGGAATCATCTGCATGGAAATGATAATTGAGTCCATGGGAGCTGAGATCAGGAAACCCTTCCCAAAGGACTCACCACGCAAGCGGAGCCTGAATGAAGCTACAGAGCCAGAAGGCATTCTTCTGCTAGAGACCGCTTTGCTATGGGAGAGACCACTTGGAGCCAGAGGCTCTTGGAGCTCAAAGGGCCCTCGGGTATCTTTGTAAATTCATCGGGTCCAAACTCCAATTGGGGAAGCGCCAATCCAGAGTGACCTGCCCAACCTCAGCCAGGTATCAGGAGGGGCGGACCCCCTCCCCCCGCTCCCCCTTCCCCCCTTCCCCCCGGCTCTAACTCCGGATTCTGCACAAGCCTGGCCCTGGGTCCTGGCTCTCGGGCCCTTCCCCCGCAGCATCAGCTGGGGGGGGGCCCTCGCGCTCGGCCACACGTCCCAGGACCCTTCGGTGGCCGCGGCCCAGTTCCGCCAGGGGCCGGACTGGCAGCCCACAGCGCTCCTGCGCCGCGCCGCCCTCCCGTCCCTCCTCCCTGCTCCCTCGCCCCACAATGCAGTCCTCGCTTTTTTTCCCCTCGCTCTTGTCCTCAGCTGAACCCGAGGACCACCCTCCCCCGCCCCCCCCCGCTCTAGGTAGCGCGCCCTCGAGAAGTGACGTCATTCCGCGGCGTCAGAAGGGCTCGACGTGGAGCGCAACAGGTCTCTGCGTTTCCCGGTCGCGAGGGCGGTGGCGTGTGTGCGCAGGCCAGTCTAAGTACGAAGAAACGGAGAAGGGCGGGGTGGAGAGAAGGATGGAAGGAAAGGGAACTTCAGACGCGCGCACTCGGGTGCGCGCTCTGGCGCGTCCGCGCGCCGGAAACAGCCGCTTGGCTGCGGAAGTCGGGGCGGGTTGGGAGGCGGGGAGGGGGTAAAGATGGGGGGGGGCGGCGGCGGTTCGTGATGAAGAGCGGGAGCGCGTGAGCGAGCGGGGGAGGGGGGGTGGGAGGGAGGCTGGGGGGGGACCGGAGCGCGAGCCGCAGGGGCGGAGGGAGGGGGGCGCGAGCGAGCGCGGCGGGCGGCAGTGGCGGCGGCGGTGGCGGCGGCGGCGCGAGAGCAGTGGGGCCCGGCAGCGGCGGCGGCTGAGACGGCGGCGGCGGCGGAGGGAGAGAAGATGGCGGATGGCGACAGCGGCAGCGAGCGAGGGGGCAGCGGGAGCGGCAGCGGCGGGGGCGGTGGGGGCGGCAGCGGCTTCCAACCCCTGTCCCGCGGGGGCGGCGAGCAGGAGACCCAGGAGCTGGCCTCGAAGCGGCTGGACATCCAGAACAAGCGCTTCTACTTGGACGTGAAGCAGAACGCCAAGGGCCGCTTCCTGAAGATCGCCGAAGTGGGAGCGGGCGGCTCCAAGAGCCGCCTCACGCTTTCCATGGCCGTGGCCGCCGAGTTCCGAGACTACCTGGGCGACTTCATCGAGCACTACGCGCAGCTGGGGCCCAGCAGCCCCGAGCAGATCGCGGCGGCCGCGGCGGCTGCGGGTGCCGAGGACGGCGGCGGGCCCCGGCGGGCGCTCAAGAGCGAGTTCCTCGTGCGGGAGAACCGCAAATACTACCTGGACCTCAAGGAGAACCAGCGTGGCCGCTTCTTGCGCATCCGCCAGACCATCAACCGCGGGCCCGGCGCGGGCGGCGGCTTCGGCGGCGGAGGCGGGCCGGGGCCGGGGGGAGGCCTGCCGAGCGGCCAGACCATCGCGCTGCCGGCGCAGGGCCTCATCGAGTTCCGAGACGCGCTCGCCAAACTCATTGACGACTACGGCGGCGACGACGACGAGCTGGGCGGCGGCCCCGGCTACGGGGAGCTGCCCGAGGGCACGTCCATCACGGTGGACTCCAAGCGCTTCTTCTTCGACGTGGGCTGCAACAAGTACGGCGTGTTCCTGCGGGTGAGCGAGGTGAAGCCGTCTTACCGCAACGCCATCACCGTGCCCTTCAAGGCGTGGGGCAAGTTCGGGGGCGCCTTCTGCCGCTACGCCGACGAGATGAAGGAGATCCAGGAGAGGCAGAGGGACAAGCTGTACGAGCGCCGGGGCGGCGCCGGGGACGAGTCCGAGGGCGAGGATGTGGATGACGACTGAAGCTGGGGCAGCCTCCCCGACTCCAGCACCCCTACCCTGCTCCAAACCGTAAGCCCCCTCCCAGAAATCCCCCTCCCCGCCGGAATGCTCCCCTTCCCACTCACTCCTGGTAGCTGGGGGAAGGGGGAGGCCCCTAGAGAAACAAACCAACAAGAAAATAACAAGCAGTGCTAATTAAAGAAATAACCACCAGGAAACTCGCGGACAACTAGAAAAGAGCAGCAAGTTCAAAGGAGATGACACTGACCTAAGTGGTGAGGAGAAAGTGCCTCTTCACCAGAGAGAAATCGCCTCAAAAACCCCGTCCCCACTTGAACTATCTGAACCTCATCCAAGATTACATCCTCACCCGCCTTTGACCTGGAGATAGAAACACGTTTTGAATTGCCCAGAGCACCCACCCAAGGATATCTGATTTTGAGTTGTGTTGTTCCTGGACTACTTAAATTGGTTCTATAAATCTTCCCATTGGCCCCTCCGGTTCTATGTTGAATTCCTTCACCTTTGAAACCAGCATCTTGGTGTCTAAATCTTTGCTAAGTCCACGAAGATAAGGGGAGAGAGGTTGTTGCAAGTTACCCATTTCCAAAGGTGCAGGTCCATAAAGGAAAATACAAATTTAAAAGTACCTACTAATCATGGACTCACTGGGAGAAATGAAAATTCAAAAGCTCTTGGGGGAATATGGAAACAAATTTGGATTTTAAAATAAGGTTTTGGAGGGAACCTGGACCAATGTCTGTTGTCTTTTTCTTTGCAGAATTTCCTTCCTCCCCCCATGCAAACTGATGGAGATATCAGTGTTTGAACTGGAATCCATTACTAAAATAGTTTTAAAGTTGGCAAGGTTTCTGAAGATTTTAATGGACATTTTTGTATTGGGGTGGGGGGTTGCATAAGAAGAAATCAGGCATAAAGCACAAAGAAAACTGTTTGAGTGGATTGGTTGCTACTCACTAAAGTTCTTCCCCTTCTCTCCAAATATGGAGGTTATTATAAAGAAATGGCTTAGGTATGAAGAAATGAGAGCCAGCTTTCGTATGGCTCCAAAAAGCATAAGCCTGTGAATAGTAGATAATTCAGCAATGCCATCCAAAGGCTGACTGGATTTTAAACCATAACTTGCATGATATCAGCAAAAGGAAACATGTGGCTACATGCCTGAGCTTTGAAAGAATGACTGATATCCATACAAAAGTTGGAAATTAACAAAACTGAAGCCTCCATTTACCTTCAGTTTAATCTATGGACTTGTTTAAATAACATCCTCAGGTCCAGAATTTCCAGCATCAGTTATTCTTTTACAAGAATTTTTAAAGGAGAACTTGATCCATTTTTATCAGTACCTCACAATCAAAGTTGGCACATGATGGATGGATGATTCAGAGCAGCAGGCCCAATGGAAGCTGAAATCCATCACTAAAAGGAGCTAAAGTGAAAATGAATAAGCTGACTATATACCCTGGAAGCTTTTTTATACCATCTTGAAATTTCAACATAAACTGGCTTCTGCCAGTTCATCTTAGCTGTCTTTCAAGAATAAAAGTTGGGGTTTTCAAGGATCACCTCTTCTATATTTTAAATGGATTCTCTCTATGAATGGTTTTTAACTAATCAAGTCAATCCTACCCCCCTTCAGAAAAGGTATTTCTAGAAATGTTAATGTATCCTAGGTAACTTTGAACTGAATGGGATCTAAACTGTTCATTCCAAAGTTTTCAGGTATTACTTGTGCAAACACCTTCTCACACAGGAGGCAGGTAACCTCACCTCCACAGTCTTCTTAGTATTTTTTAACTGCATGCCTGCCCTTTCTTTGAGCTGCCTTTTTAATTTATTGCATACCCTTTTTATTACCTTGTTTTGGTATTACTCAATCTATACTATCTTTTTGTTTTGTATTTATTGGAAAATAAGGAATATACAAAAAGGTCATTCTTATGCATTTGTGGCTGAGAGGGAGAAGAAATTTTACATAAAAGTTTGGCTGTTTATAGAAATTAGATTATCCAGAATATTGATAATCGAAGGTTAGAAGTACAAGAGCCACAAACATGTACTTAAGCCCTTTTAAAACAAATTCTCTTCTCCCATCATCCACAATAGACTTTTTAAACAGATTTTTTAAAAAACAGTTTTTGTTTTTTAATTTTTCTCCGTTGCAAAGAATGTTTCCTAAATTGTATGGGAGCAATAGTATTTTTTGATGTTTTAATTACATCCGTATTCTTGTACTGTATTTTGTACTACAAGGCAGCTGTTTTCAATAATGTCCTGCTGTATTTACCTTTGTATTTTGTTTGAGTGTGTTCAGTTCTTTGCTGCGGAGAACAAGTCCCAAAATAATGTTTGAATAGGACAGCTTTAGGGTTGCAGAAAACTGCTTTAAATAATTTCAAAAATTTGAGGCAGCAATGAAAATTAAGGTTGCAGCCATTAAGTGTATATTGCTGTAACTTTTTCATTTTGAAACCATATACAATTCCTGTATAGACCAACTTGTTTTGTTGCTTCAGTGGTGATCGTGTTGCTCAGCTGCTGTGAGCCAATTCGATTTTGCAAAGGTGCAGTACCTCTCCTTTTCAAGGGGTTGTTTGTTTTTTTTGTTTGTTTTTTTTTATTGAATTGCAGTAACTAGCCTTGCCTTTCTACTCTGTAGAATTGACAGGGTCTTCACAATCCTTTACCCGTGGCTTTTTAAGCTATAATTAGCTGCATAGGAAGTATGTGGAAGTGGACAGAGGCATATATAGAGTGTATGCCAAGAACACTACCATATACGGCATCAGCTTTGGTAACCAGAGAAATTTTCTCTCAGTCATTAGACCATATAACAGTGATGTATCGTGCAAAAAATCTTGAGTAATCAATTTGAGAATCCTCCAAAAATAGGAGCAAAGAATGCATAAGCTATGTGTTGGAAGAAGTAATTTATATTAAAACTCTGACCTGCCTGGATAAGACTAGTTAAATGTCACCATGGTGGGTTTTTAAGTCTTAACCAATCTTGAGGATTTGATTTTCCCCAAAGGGGGTGGTTCATGGCCTTTCTTCCTACTGCAGGAAGATTGGGATCCATTCTAAGAAGGGTATGGGTTAATTGTCCACTGATTGTCATTCCTGACCCCAAGGACAATAGAAATCTGCAGAATACAGGGACTACACTTTTGCAAATTTTTTGCTATTGGAGTGCTTCAAAAGATCATAAATATTAGCTTATTTGAAGTCTGTGGTCCTTTTTAAATCTAGTTAGGAAGAAAGCATTTTACAAACTGCAGTGTGGGAAACAAACCTGGTTGGGTTTTGTTTTTTGTTTACCATTGCTGTGAGCAGTGATTTTTTTTTTACTTCATCAAGCATCTCAATATTCACACACTCAGAATACCCGTCCTGTTTGACAAGTCCTAGAGCTACTTTGCAAATGATTGATGAAAGGTTTGTTCCTCATACTACTGTTTTCTCAGCTTGTTTTCACTGTAGAGTTCCTACAACTTACAAGAATTAGAAACAAAATATTAGCAAAAAACCAATAATCTATAAATATGTCCTTATATTCCTGATTTCTATTGTCCTTATTCATCATTCAGCCAATGGAATGACAATTCCAGTCTGCAGACATGTCAATGCATTTGCTGTACAAGAAAAGTAAGTCTGTATGGCACCAAAAAAAAAAACCAAACCAAAAAACCAGACACCCTGTGTAAATATTTGAGGCATGTAGGTGGCATAAATGACTGTAGCTGTACTATACAGATAGCTACTTGTCAATTCAATTTTTATAATTAATACAGAATGATTCTGAGGGTCTGTGGATTCAAGCAGTCTTTAAAACCTCCTGCTTTGTTTGTTACCTTTGGATCACTTTGCAGCAAATTACAGGTCTTTTAAGAGATTCCGGGCTTCAGTTTCCTCCCAAAAACCAAACTACAAACATTTATCCTGTTTTTTATTTGAAAATGTGCAGGGTAATGGGCAAAAAAGGCTGGTTACAATAATGCCCTCATATTGAGTGGTCTGTTAATGACTGCACACTTCAGGCATTGTAATAGCTGAAGATGACTTGTTAAATGTGACTTTTCCCCAATGTTACAAAGATGTAGAATGATCTACACAAGGTATTAAAAAGTGACTATTAATTTCCATCTACCTTGCTCTTCAGAGAGTGTCAGTTAATAAATTTGGGGGGAAGCTTGAGTGTATGTATAGCTCATGCACATGAGTATTCTTAACTAAGTTTTGTTTTTATTTTTAACCAGATTATGGTACTTTATCAAATGCACAACTAATCTCTCAGTAGATATTCATTTGAAAATAGTGTGGCCTTGATCAGTGAGAAGGGGAAAAGACTTGTTTTTTGCCTATGTAAAAATGACTCATTTGCTAGGAGTCATAATTCTCTATCTGATATTTTTGTGGTAGGTCTCCTTTTGATCAGGAAAAAAAATAAAATGTTTTTGTGTTCATTTAGGTATTAATTACATTCGATTGTCTGTTGTGTTTAGAGACTATCAGAATTGTTCTGATGAATATCAAAGTTGACTGCTTTGATGTCCAATCTCAGGTTTTAAAACATAGTGGTGTGAAATCCCACTGGTTACTGACAAAACAATTTTATTTTAGAATACCTTAAAGCTCACATATATCCGGCCTGTTTAGACAGCAGACCCTCCATCTTGTTACTCTTTTCCCACTTTCTACTGGAGTCTGATACTTCCATGGCTTGAAAGTATCAAGAAATTTTCGCATTGTATAGTTCCATTTTAACCCTTGTATATTTTCTCATAGGCAAAAGCACTTTTGGTCACGTAAATACATAGATTATTTATTTTATGTGGACCGTGGCTTCTCAGGCTCCCCTAATTCTGCTTATTAAGATAATTGTTCTTACTTTATGTAAGTGGAAATCTTTGCTAATGTTTAGAAAGTTTGTATTGGTCCTGAAAGCATCTGCTAGCTTCCAGTGAATGCAGTAATAACCAATACTGTATTCACAACTTAATAAGTTACTTTCCTTGAGCCTTAAGGTAACTCTTTTTTTGCTGTCAGTAGCAGCATTAAAGTTGTTGCTCTGTAGAAAATGAGACTATCAGTTGTCAGGGTTGATTTTTAGAGTACTGTAAGTCAATTAGCTGTCTTCCTGATAAGTTAATGCTTCCATCAAATAGTTGTGGAGTTGTTTGGTTTTTATTGGGGGGGGGGAGCACACTTAATTTAAAGCCTGACTAAAGAGGAAAAATAATTATTTCACATTTTGGGTCTGGGATTTTTAGCCCCAGACAATAACATAAAAATACTGGATTGTAATTACTTTATATTTTGGTGGGGGAAAACTAAAAGATCTAAAATCTTAGCACCCAGTAGTTGGACTCCTGAATGTTCTTGGGACCGTCTAAAAACTTGTTTTGGGGTGTGGTGTTCTTTGCTAAATTATAGTTAATTAACACCCACCTTCCTTAATCTTTGGTACCAGACTCAATTTTATTACTTAGAGGTTTAAATGACTCAGCTTCCACAAAATGAAGTCTGATTCCTAAAACTCAAAATTAAGGTTGCAACATGAAGAATTTTACACTTTTAACATAATTCCCAGATATTGTCAGTGCCCCTTGTCTAAAAGCCTATACTAAGTTTATTGTAAATTTCACAAAGAAACAATAGGGAACAAAGGCAAGAGGCTTACATTTATAGTCATCTTTACTCACAATCTATGTAACTTCAAACCAAAAACAGCTTAGCCATTTATCTAAAATTATTTATATTGCTCTTTTTAAAAAAAAATTCCATAATTCAACTCATTTATTCAGGGCCTGATTTTCCTGTTGGCAGACTATGCTACTAGCCCTTTACTTCTCTCTTCCAGCCTTTTGGTTATTTGACTGCTTCATTAGTGCCTCCACCAGAAGGTGGATGGAGGAAGGAAAAGGAGGGGAAACAAATCTGTTCATTTTATCCTATTAGTGATTCTAGTAGGACTGGTGAAAGTATGGGGAAGCTTTCAGATAAAGCAAGGTTTCTGCATAATCAGTTTTATTTTTCCTGTTATTCCTGACATCTGTTGACATGGAAAGTTCATTTTGCCTTTTAAATGGAATGTCACCCAAATGTTAATTAACATTTAGTAGTACAAAGTGGAAGAAGTAGAAAGAGACGTTCAATGCAAAACTCAGTAGCCTTTTTAAAAAGGTTTGTAAAAATTTTTGTCCAGGCTCTGCCACATTCCTTTTGCTAACAGATTGCAAACTCTTCAAAGAAAATTAAGTACAGCCTTTAATTTCTCATAGCATTACCATAAGAATTTCTAAGGGGGGGGGATGTATTTCTTCCCTTTTTCTTTAGTACAGCTTAGGTGGAACCTGCTACCCTAAAGAGGAATTTGGGGGAAAATTTATATGAACACATTTGTGTTGTGGGACATGGGGGAGGGGGTTAATTTTTAACTTAAAAGGTCATCAAGCACCCATCTCTCTTAGCTACTTATCACCCCTTTTTGATAAAAGTTCCCTTTGAAGTACCAAGTATGGCTCCCAGAACCTGGAATCCATTCTGTCCTTGAAAAGCTAAATAGATTTCTTGAGACTAAGCAGGGTGTAAATCTTGTCACTTGCCCTGAATGTTGTTAGCAATAGAATGTGAGTTATTTTGCAATGGAATGGCCAGCATTTTAACAGTAACATTTAGTGTTAATGTTTCTTAGGGTGTTCTCTTACTGTCCTTTCTGGGCTGTATGTAAAAATGACTTTTTCATGGTTATTTAAGAAAATCTATTTCTGAGTAATTCCCAGATAGCATATTTTCCCAATCTAGTAAAACTGCCAGCCACATCTGCCAGTGGCTAATGTACTACATGCTTCCTTCCCTAGAATAGCTTCTTAACTCTAACCCTAAGGTTGTTCTGCCAACACGTAATCTGCAGAAGTAATCTGAATGAGCTAAATCCAAATTTAAAGTTTGTTGGAGCAGGAGACAGCTTCTTGATCAGGATGTACTTGTGTGTTTAAATAAATGGGCAGCAACTAAAAGGGATATGATTTTGAAATTTAAATGTCTTCAATCCATATGTAAATATCCACATGCTTGTGCATTGTAAACAGGTGTGTATTCATATGTATGAAATTACAGAACTGGTTTCTGCTTCATGAGAAACACAATACCTTTAATTTTATAAGATTTTCCCCCACAACCTTATGTATATAGAACACTAAACTTGTAGTGATAGGATCAATTCGGGAATATCTGCTGAGAGACCAAAAAGTTCATTTCTTAAGTACCTTGGTTAAAGAATAAAGATTATTCCTCTTGTTTATTTAAAAAAAATGCACTTTAACAAGCAAACGCAGCTGCATGGTTCAATTCAAACAGATACAGTAAGTGCAGCACCCGTTCAAAATCTCCCTGAAAACAATTCAAAAGCAGAGTCAGAGCTGGCTGTAGGTCTTGCTGCCTAAGAGAGTGAAGCTCAGATTCTTATCCTTTGAGGCCAGCAGGACTGCTTTTTTAAAGAGCAATGTGAATACAGCCAGGAGCTACAGACAGGTCTGTAAAAGGGCAGGTCCTGGATTTACCACTAGCTAACTAGCAAAACCAACCAGAAAAAAAAAGTTTAAAAATTCATGCTAGTGAGCACTCCTTACAATAGCAGATTTTTGCAAATGGAGTTTTACAAGTCTATATTTAAAAAATTGTATGTTTGTAACAAATAAAGTATGCGGAAAAGTGAATGATAATTTTGTGCTGATGTCTTTGTGATTTAAGGAAAGTACACTGGGATAGGCTTAGGTACCTGTTTGTCCTTCGTTTTCTAAAAGGACCAGGACATCAGGAAGGTGATGTCATGACTAGCAAGTGAATTTTCAAGTAAGGTACGGCTGTGCAAAAGTCACTGGCCTCACTCTCTCCTCCATAGCCATCTGGGTCCAGTGGCAAGATATAGATCAGGACAACTGGAGATGGCCTCGGATGTTATCTTGCTTTAGACAGGTATTGTTGGAAGTAGGTGGGTGTGGGGCTTAATAGAAGATATAATCCAGATTGGAACCAACTGTCTTCCCACACTGCCTGTTTATAATAGGTAATCTTTTGGTGTGGTCTTTCTGTTTGCTGTAAAACCCTTGAAATTTTAGGAAGCAGAGATGAAGCAAAAGGAAATAGGCTTACATTCCAGTCATTTAGGAATAACAGGCTATTTAATGTTTCCCTAGTTTTAGCCCTTGCCAAGATTATCTCATCTTTTATTCTCTAAACTCATTTAGTTCTCATCCTGTCACTTTTCAAAAAATTAATCTCTTCTGTATTTTCGACACATTTCAGAATCTCTCCCCACTCCACTACCCTTTCTTTGAGTTATCGTCTTGTAAGATTTTTTTTTTAAATGAAGGAAATAGTTAAGTAAAACCAGCTGGCATGATAGTATATGTAATACTTCATCCCCATAGCTCACTTCTGTAATTTAGGGAGGTGAATTTCAGTTCTTTGGGTCCAAGTTTGTTCATGATTACAAAGCATTTTTTCCTCTCTAATCATGTTTTTCACTGTGAATTGTTATTGTGGTTCTACTTTACTCTGCATTGATTCTTATCTTCCTATATTTCTCAGTAATGACTTATTTTCAATTAGGAGACTAAGCAAAAGTGTTTTATAACTCTTAAGTTCATAGGCTTTTATGCTAGCTGTTGCTTATGGTTACTTCCCTCAGGAAAAATTTCATCTTTGGGAATGGGGAGCACTTTCTCTTTGTCACACCAGTTCCTGTGCATAATGGATCTGTCTACCTGAACCCAAGAACAAGATATGGGTAAGAAGAGTGTTAACTGAGCTGAGATCATTTGACATACGGGTAAGCTTTTCATCATTGCACACCCCCTTCTCCCATCTCCATCCCCCATCCCCGTGATCTGAGTTGATGGTGACATTCTACAAGGTCTTATTGTGAAGAAGGAAAATAAACCAATACTACTAAGGTAAGATTGCTACTTACCACATTAAAGCAGAAAAAAGTCCATCCAGGAATGAAGTCAGTAAGCACTTATTCAGTGTTTACAATGTGCTAGCCATCACTTTTCCCCCAAAATACCTCCATACTGTGACTTTATTGTGCCCAAATTACCCAAACTACTATGTTCACTTTCTGGCTCAATCTCGAGATAAATTTTCTATTTAAATAATTAAGCACTGAGATGAAGATGGTCTCCTCTAGAGTTGGGTTGAGTTCCATTCTATAAGCATTTATTAAGGACTTATTATGGGCCAAACATGGAAGTAGGCTCTCAAGTGAAACATTCACTACCTTTAGAGTTTACTTCCTGTTCAGAGGTGGGCAAGGTGGATACATATACATATAATACAAAGTAATTGGGGGGGGCACAATTGGAGGAATCAAAAAAGATTTCATACAGGAGTTGGCATTTGAGGCTTGATGGGAGCTAGAAATTCTAAGAGGAGATACAGCATTATAGGCATGGGCAACAGCATGGTGTTGGGGAGGTGGTACACTGTCTTAAAGAAACATCAAGGAGGCCAGTTTGGCTGAAACATTGGAGAGGAATGTGAAATTGGTCCAAAGAGAGATGTTAGAGCCAGACTTAAAGCTTTAAATGTCACCTGTTATCTTAATGGTGATAAAGAGGCAATGAAGCTTCTTGGGCAGAGGAATGGCATGGTCAGGTATCCTTCAGGAATAAGACCAAGGAAACTGGGAAACTTAGTAACCTTTACATCTTACATTGGGGTGGGGAGGGGAGTTAGATATTAATCAGGATTGTCTTCACCAGCACTGTCACACCCAAGAGAAACGCAAATTTATCTATGGCATTTTTAAAGGTCTACAAACATTCACCCTTGGTAACTGAGAAACTGTTAGGTGCAGCACCCTTGCTGAAGCTCAACGTGCTTCTTGGACCATTCACCTTACTATGAATAATAAAGAAGCTGTAGTAGATTTCTCTAAGAAGTTGATGCAGCCAAGTTGCCATCTGTAGAGCTAAATTTAGCCAATGGTTCTTGGGGTAGAGAGCATCAGTATAAATGATCTTGGTGCTTCTGGTTGCTTCAGACTCTGTAAAAAGAGTAGTTGCAAAAAAAAAAAAAGTAATTGCCTCCTGAATTAAAGTTTATGAGGGAAAGCAGTCAAGATCTAGAGAAGTGAAAGAGCCTTAACTTCTTTTAAAGGTAAGAATTTATCCAGCCAGGAGGAGTTTTATAATGATCTCATGGTCAGTAATGGATTCTGAGATGTGTATCCCAAGGGCCTACAATATAATCTCTGTCTAAAACAGAAATATATGAATGTGATAGGAATATAGAAAACCAGATGATACCTCTGGTGCAAGGATGCATGGAGCCCATGAACTTAAAAAATAAATATTCTAATAACTTTCAACAATTGGTTCTCTTTGTAATCCTAGCTAGCTAGCATTTCTATGACAATTTAGGGTTTGCAAAGCACTTTACAATACATCATTTTATCTTCATAACAACCTTGGGAGGTAGATATTATTATCCCTATTTTACAGAATCCTATGAATTTTATGCATTTAAAACCCCCTATTTTGGGGCAGCTGAATGGTGCAGTAGATAGAGCACCGGTCCTAGAGTTAGGGGGACCCGAGTTCAAATCCAGCCTTAGACATGTAACACTCATTAGCTGTGTGTCTGGGCAAGTCACTTAACCCTGATTGCCTCACCCAAAAAAAAAAAAAACCACCACCCTATTTTTAGATGGAGTCCATAGGCTTCATCAGACTGTCAAAAGGGTCTGACAAAAAACGTATCTTGCTCTAGTATGTTTTGTGGCATTCTGGAAAGTTTATGGAAGCACATACACAAGAAACTAGATGAGAATGTGTGAAGACATCCTCACAAATGAAAGCAGATACACCAAAAGTGACTGAAGTGTTAAATTTACTCTTTCCTTATGCCATCAAAGGGAGTCTTGATAGTGAATTTTATTCGTTCTTTGCTACTTGGATAGCCAATACCTATTATATTGGTTTGGGGGTGGTAGAAAAAGTGTTGGACTTGGAACTTGGAGTGGTGTGGGTTCAAATCCCACTTTAAAACTTGATATCTGTTTGGGTATATCACTTAACCCCTCCTGATCCTCAGCTGCTTCTGTAAAAGGGGGGAAATAATATTTCTACCTCATAAGGATGTTTGGAGATCAGATGATAATGTATGTTAAAATGTTTTGCAAAAATAAATAAAATGTTTTACAAACCTTAAACTGCTTTACAAATGTTGGCTAATATTAGGAAGAATGTTACAAATTATGTAGCTAGTATTAAAGTTTATAAAGCACTTTATATATGTTAATTCACTTGATTCTCAAAACTAACATGGGAGGTAGGTGTTATCCCCATTTTATAGATGAGCAAACTAAGGCACAGAGAAGTTAAGTAGTGACTTGTTCAAGGTCACACAGCTAGTACTGTAAGGATTGAAACTCAGCCCTTCCCCACTCCCAAGTCTTGTACTTTATCCACTATACCACCTATTAGATGAGAAGCTACTAATGGAATAGGGAAGTATAAATAAACATCATATGTTTACCTAATAAGATCTTCTCAAAATAAAGAGCATGGTTTAATGAAAATTATATCACCAGACCTTGGGTAGACTCAGCTGTGCCACAAACCACCTGTTTGATCTTAGGAAAATTACAACTTCTGTGGCCATCAATTTCCTTGTCAGGAAAGGGAGGTACCCTCTAAAGCTCTTTCTTGCTCCAGTGTTTAGTGGGAGGACATCTATTCCAACCCCTTCATTTTACAGATGAGTAAAAAAGGCTCAAGGAAGATACTGTTGGCCCCAGTTTAATGGTAGAGCTGGGATTTGAACCCAGGCCCTCTGACTCTAAATCTGATGTGCTTTCCACTGTGCCATGCTGCCTCCACATGGAAGCAAGTGTTGAGATGGAAGGGGCTATCCACGATGCAGCTACAGCTGTACCACTGAAAGACAACTGCTACTCACCATCCAATCCTTTATGCCAGCTGTGAACGCACTCCAGACTTCATGATGACCATCATCATGGCAAAGAAAAATGGCTACTTGTAGTTTCTATTCGTATAGTAGTAAAATTATAAAATGATCATTGAACTAAGTTCTTTCTCAAGGAATACTGGAGCAAAATACTCAAAATGTAATTCCTGTCTTTTGGGAAAAAAAATGAGGTTTAGATCTTCTATGACATCTTTTAAAGTTGCAAATTTCAGTGAGTTCTTCCTAGGCTAAATGGAAATATTTATATAAATATGTGGAAGAAATTACAATATGATTTACCCCATGGGATACTGAACAAAAATATTCAGTGTCTTCCTAATGCCCTTACATTTTAATTGCTTTCCCTAGATCTACAGTTCACTCAAAAGCATCCATTTAGGCACCAGTGATTGTTGCTATCAGAACTGCTGAGTAAAATCCCTGAGCTCTACCTTGTCTTAGTCAGGTACTCCTGGAGCTTCCTTGGCAGGTCCCCAGAACCTCTCTTATGGTGCTGAAACCCTATGATCCATAAAACAACTTCCATACAAACTAGGAGCACACCTGGCCTTAAAAAACAAAACAAAACCAAAAAAAAAAAGCCCAGAAACATTGGCTACGGTTACCTATGGGCTATGACTACAGATTTCCTTTATTCTCCAAATCTCCAAAGGGTGCCAAGATTATCTTTTAGTCCTAGAACAGAAGGGTCTGTGAGACAACTACACAATATTAATTGTGA